TAGCCGAGCCAGTGTTCTTGTGCTACAAACGTAAGATCGCTTTTTAATTAACAGCCTTTGTAGCCTGTGTGCTTGTAACAGAACGGACACTCGGTGTAAGCATAGATGGTTATACTACTCTAGGGAGAGCATAAAAATTGAGTAGTACATTCTTGTACGGGTCAGAAAATGGCGAGTTTGTAGGATTTTGGAGGGTGTAAAGTGCACCTGAGCCAGCAGGAAGTGGGCATGTTAACGTGACCTCACCAGGCACAAAATTGGCCCGACTTGTCCGCATCAAGGGAATCGATGAAGTATATTTGAAGCATTCATGTTTACATCTCCCAATCTCCCCGTACGTGCTGTCACGGTCACCCGCTTCTTTCCCAAATTAAGACGGACAGAATGAATGATTTCACCACATCCTTTTTTGAAATGAGCATTCCCTCCTACAAACTGGCCTCGGTGAATAGTACACCCTCTGTTCCTAAATATAAGATATTTTGGTACCTAGTTGAAATTTAAACTGTCAAAACTTTTTACATTTAGAAACAGAGGTAGTACATATCTTCGCCTGTACAGGTGTGTGTTTAAGGAACGTATCCGTATAGATATATATGATTGTGGTAGTGCTTATATACATACCTCTGCCATGTTCAGTGGTAGCATCTCACACACTTTATAATAGTTGCTCGATTGTTTCTTTAAAAAAAAAAGATAGTTGCTCGATTGTTTAATACACGGGCATATTCAGTATGATGTTCGACAGGCAGGTAGAAATGCATATAAGGTTCCATTTTCGTCCAAGATAGATCTCATGCAAATGATCCACAAGGCCAACCATCTAGATAGCGTCTAATTTGTATCCGCCCATAAATGTTGCTAATATTGCTTTAGTCATTAGCTGGACGGTACTTCAAATAGGTTCAGAATGCTATTAAGAGTGGGAGTGTGCGCCTTATTACAGGAGCTTTGGCTATGTAGAAATATTTTAGTTTTTATGGCAAAAACTCTTCTCATTTGCAGCTTATTTTCCGTTGTACTCACTCGCTTTCGTGGTCTACGCTGCACCTAATAGAGTATCACCCGATGTTCAATGTGGTGTGTATGCGGTTAGAGCAAGTGGTCAGGGAAGTTTTTACTCAACACGGGTGACAACATAATCTCTAGATCAGTCCATCACCTCCTTCGACAATCCATAGTTTCCGTCCTATACGACTCTTCATTGCCAATATGTAGATTTTTTAATTATATTTTGTCAGGTTGTTAGTGTTTTGTTGTGTGCATCCTAATTATGCAGAGGTCGAGTGTTGTTCATCATGTTTTGTATCTGATTGATTCTACATTTTGAGTTAATAAGAGCGGATAAAAAAGAATGTAAAATTCATGTTCGAAACAACCCATGACTCTACGAAGTTATCATAAAAGTAGACATCAAGGAACCTATTACAAGGTGAAGTGACCATTTTCGCAGTTGGCTATGTATGAATGATTTCACGACCAAATGGTGCCACTAGCTCAGATTTCTTTCTTAAGGACATGCGCGAAAATCGTGTGTCTTTGTATTGATAGATAGAAGAAGGTTGTCACAGAGTCAATACATCAGCCACTATGACAGTTACCGCCTCCACCTTACATGGATACACATACTACTCGTTGTATTCTCCGCTGGTGAGTGCCTCTAACCAAATCGCTAGCCGCCATGATACGACATACCACCATGATGGTAGGGTCGATTTCCGCTAGAAAACTCACATTCCTTTCTAGCCAAATGATCCGTAGGATGGCGACGATAAGGGAGCTACATTCTTTCCAAGCCCGCGGTTGGACCAATGCAAAGCTCGAAGGCCACAGAACGTTGTTGTCGTCGAAATGTTGATTGTGTTGGTGTTAAGGTTAATATAAGTACATATCCCCCCCTCTTAATCTCAACTCAAATCCTTCATCACTCCCTCCTCCCCTGATTTCCTGAACATGTGCACGTAATACATTTCCGTAACAAAATTCATAAGTATAGCAAAATTCTATCCAAACCATGAGGGGTGATTGATCATCCCTTGTCATCTACAATGTTCAACGTATTGTTACAGATATGTTGGTTGTCCTTATTGCAAGGGTTAAAGAATATGGCCAGGTTGGTGCTCTTACACCACAATTGGTGGATGGTGGTGTGTCCATATTGCAGTATGCAGATGATAACATTATTTTTATGGAAGGTGACATGGAGAAGGGAATTAATATGAAGTTAATCATATATATGTTTGAACAACTTTCTGGCCTTAAGGCCAACTTTTATGAGAGTGAGATCTTCTGCTTCTATATAAGACCAAAGAAGATGAAAGCTCACTCCGGTTTCAGTATATTTAAACTACATTGATCGGCACAAGCTTCTAAATAAGGAGTGGGTGGTTTTTTATAACTGTATCAATAAAAAGAAGTTGGAAAGATAAGTTATTGTCTATGGGTTTATCTTATTATTATCCATGTTATTTTCACCAGCCTATCTATATTTATGTTATCCTTCTTTCAGGTACTCAAGCGGGTTAGGAAAAGATTGGATTATTGCAAATCAAGATATTTTTTCGCAATGTGATGAACATCAATGAAAATATCAGCTAACTAAGTGTGATAGAGTTAGTAATCAAGAGATCAAGGGGGGTAGGGGTTGAGTAGCGAGAAATAAAGAAAAAAATTGTACTGAATAAATGGTTGTTCAAGTTACTAAGTAAAGAAAGTATTTAGTAAGAATTTATATGCAATAAATACCTCCACTGTAAGACCCTGTCAAAACAGCAAAGCATTCAGATTCATCGTTCTTAAAAGGGCATGATTATAGATAAGAAAGAGTGGGCAACGACCAACACGAGATTTTGGGATGACGCCTGATTAGAGGGTGCACCCCTAAGTCTCCAATACTTGAACCTATACAATATCTTCTAGCGAGAAGACGTTTTGTCGAATTAGTTTTAGGTAAGATCCCACTCAATACTGAGCCTCAGCGAGCTCTTCCTGCGATAAATGGACAACATGGCTACATCTGTCAATATGTGATGTAGATAGACTTATCTCAAGACAGAGATGTTTTCAATTGGAAGTTAATAATCCAGATGTCTTCTTCATCTAATCTATGTACACTGACCTTATTAATGAAGGTCGTGTTTTGTGTACAAAATATACCCCCAAACTCAAAGTCCCGTTAAAAAAAACTTTATATGGAACTCGGAAACATGAGTGGTCTAAAGAAAAAACAACTTGGTGAAACGAAAATGGTATGCATGTAAAAGTGTATTTTTGTGATAACCATGAAACAATTCATAGCTTACTCTATCTTTCCGTTTGCCACATTCCGCTGGTGCACTGTCCATGTGACTAACAATTTACCCCCACCTGTGAGTATAAGGAAGATGTCTGAAAACCGCTTGGCGACACGCGAGGATTCGCCTAGGCTAAAGGCACAATAAGTGTGGGTGTAACTTTCGTAGTTTGGGCATGAAATTGTTGAAATGATTGTGTTATAATATGAAGAGAGTTTCAAAAATAATTGCAGCTTATGACGGAGGCATAGGAGTCCACAACTATGGGTGTAGTCAATAGGAAACAACAACAAAATATATGTTTAACCGACTTAGATGTCGGCCCAATAATAATATTAGTAAAGCATGTGAACGTTATATAATTGTATTACCATTTGGTTGTGCTAGCCCTGTGAATTTTTTCTATGGCCGGTATGTATAATGAAACTATACAATAACAGATGGCTATACGCATCAAGCGCGAACATCTAGTACTCTCTCCGCCTCCAAATAGATGGTGTATAAAACGAGTCAAAATTGCTTTGTAAGTTTGATCAAGTGTGTATACAAAACTATGTAGATGAACAATACTGAATCAATATGAATATATTCATCATTAGATATATTTTCATAATGTATTTATTAATACAGGGTTGGCAGAGCAATGTTTTTTGAAACATAGGAGCTCGTAGAGGCAACAGTTAAAAAGTCACCGATGCAGACCAGGAGACGCCGACGACCGCAGTCTACGAAGCAAATCGCCTTACCAGAGGAAAAAACCACTGATAAGGACCTGTAGAACCTCGAAGACTACAGAAGCGGGCTGAATCCAGACGGATCCACCGGAAGCCTAAACCAATCGGATCCCAAAAGGCCTCCAGAAACACAGCTCCATACGTCCTCTGCTGATAAAAAACGCACCAACCGAATAGGGATAGAGTGGGGTAGAACATTATTCCTACCCCTGGGTAATGCCGCCTTAAACCAGACATAAAGACTCCGCTAAGGAAAACCTAGGAAGAAAAAACACTCATGCCACTGTACGACTGGCGTGGGTTTCAGAATCGTGCACTAACGCCCTCTTCTTCCCGATGATTTTTCTATACATTTAGTCAAACTCAGAAAGCTATGTGAATTTACACGGCATCAATCCTTGCATAGGCCAATGTTACGCGCTTATGGGGGATTTTTTTTAAAAATTAGTTGCAGAACTACTACTACTGGCCTAGGTCAAACGGTAAATAAGCAAGGGCAGGCGCAGGCTAGAACCACAATGCAACAACCATGGACTGTACTGGGACAAGAAGGAGCTCCGGTGCGGGGCGGCCATCTCGCTGTGGCGGACGTGCGGGCTCCACGGTCTCCTCTACTCCTGGCATGCTCCCCGCTATATAAAGCACAACACACGCT